TCTCTCTCTCTCTCTCTCTCTCTCTTCTTTCTTTCTTTTCTGGTGTAATAATTCAATAGAAATATTAATCCCATTAAAATATGTGTCTGTTTTTGACTCAATAATGCAATAAATGCTAATTTAAAACCAAATACCAAACCCTTATCTTATCCTCGCTTTTGGCCATTCATTCAATTCTGTGTTTTAATATAAATGTGTTTTATTTTTGAGACAATTTTTTGCTACATTTTTGCGCCCATAATGTGTTTTATGGTTTTAAAGTTTATATTTATTTGTTTTATGTCTTAAACATAATTTCCTGAATTTTCTTACTTTTATTGTAACAAAAAATATTGGACTCTATTTGGCACTCATTTTGCAATGAAATGGTTTTTCTCTTTAGTTTTTTTAATCTCATTTGCAATGAAATGAAAGAAATTTATTTTCTGTTTAAGTTTAAGGAGTAGTTTTTGCTGATAATAAAGACTTACTGTAATTAGTGAGCGTTTTTTGTGTGTCAATTAATTGACTGCAAGACTACTAATTAATGTTTGTATGATTTTTCGCTAATCCAATGATAACACAAAAAGTTATTGAATGAATTAAATATATATTTTCTGATTAATGAAGTAATGGCACCGAAAAACCAGTCCCTCTCTCCTCGAAGCTAATGATTAAAGCCTTGAATTTTGATATAAAAAACAATTTGCGCTTTTGATTACAGTTTAGATCATAGGATTTCTCTAAAATAAAGGCTTAATAATAGAGGTTTCGTTGAATTCATTATTATTTTACACATTATTTTATGTATAATTTTTTTGTTCACTTTGAAAATCCACTTACATTTTCATGCGTTATATCCATTGCACGCAATGGTTAGCGAAATGGGATTTTTGATTTCAAATCAATTTTCATTAGATATGTTGTGTATATTTTGAGCGACAAATCAGAAAAAATCGCTCACCGATTGAAATGTGAGATTAATTCTCTCTGCCATTCAAAACATTCACTAAATTATAGTTATATTTCATATGAATCATAATTTTTTGACTTAAATTTCATAATAAAATGCGTTTTTTAGTCGAGAAACAGATCAGTCAAACGTAAACTGAATTAATGAAATGATTTATAATTAACTTTTGAAATGAAAATTAGTAGTAAATACTATGACATTAATACTAAACACTAAATAACTAGTTGAGAGAGAGAGAGAGAGAGAGTGGAAACGGATTTGTGTTTTAGTTTTACAATAAAAAATAGGAGAAAATGAGTGCAAACGCTATATTAAACGAGAGAGAGAGAGAGAGAGAGAGAGAGAGAGAGAGAGAGATTGTTCCGTCAGTTTCTCTGAGAAAAAAGTAATTTTTTCATGTATTTAAGGCTTGGTTTTTGTTGTCGGGTATAGTTTTTTGAGCAGTAATTTAATCCCGAAATATGAGTTTAGTTTTCACTCCTGTTTATGGAGTCAATTATCAATGAGTAAGTCATTAACTATTCGTGTTATTCATTGCCTAAAAACTTTCATTTATTTTTTGATTTAATCAACGAATTAAATAATTTTCATATACTATACTATTTGTACCATTCATTTGCCTTAATTTAATTGACTGTATATTTTGGTTATTTGACTCGTAATTGTGTTCACAAGTAATGCCGTATTCAATAGCATTGCAAACACTTACTGTATTTAAATGATTGAATGAATTAAAGAAAACACATTTACAATACACTGAATATTTATACTTAACGGCAATTTACTCGTTGGCACTCAACACATATACTGTACACACAATACTTAATTGCATAACCAATGAATGAAATTAATAGTAATTTAGTTTTTTATTGTTATTAGTTTTTTCCACTCGTTTATTAATTTAGATATTATACTGTATACCCTTTTATTGACCGAAAAAGCTCTCTCTCTCTCTCTCTCTCTCTCTCTCTCTCTCTCTCTCCCCTCCCTTTCTCTGCATGTATTGAATTCTTCATTGTCTTCGAAGTCATTAAACTTTATGTTAAAAATTTGAATGCAATGCCTATTATGTATGCATTTCCCTAACACTGTAATGATATCGATATAAGGGATCAATAATTTTAATGATTATAGCGATAGTTAATGCTTTAAATGTTAATGTCTTTTGTGTTGAATGTTTTGTTTCTTCGGTTTTACTCATTATTTCAATTAAATACCACAAAACACACGATATTTGCATTAAATACCACTAAATCTGGCTTAATATCTAACATATTTGTCTCATTGTATGGATGACAGGGGCGTCGGGAGGCATATGCGAGAAATACAAGTCCTATACGGAGAACATTGGCGGACGACAAGTGCAAACCAAACGCAGTCTAAACACCGGAATCATAACATTCGTGAACTACAACTCGCGAGTGCCGCCCAAAGTGAGCGAACTGACGCTCGCCCACGAGATCGGCCACAACTTTGGCTCTCCCCACGACTACCCACTCGACTGCCGGCCCGGGGGTTCGCAGGGAAACTACATCATGTACTCGTCGGCCACTTCGGGAGAGCGGCCAAACAATAACAAGTTCTCGTTCTGTTCGGTGAACAACATATCGTCTGTATTGCACGCCGTGTTCAACAACGAGGGCAAAGACAACTGCTTCCAGGAGGACAACGGGCCCTTCTGTGGCAATAAGATTGTCGAAGAGGGCGAAGAGTGCGACTGCGGCTACGATATGAAAGAGTGTAACGAAAAGTGCTGCTATCCGAGAGAGATCGAGCCGTTTCGCGCTCGGGAGCCGTACGCCAAGCCGTGTCACCGGCGGCCGGGCTTCAAGTGCTCGCCGTCTGAGGGCCCGTGTTGTACAGAGAGTTGCGACTTCGAGACCAAAGCCAAACAGTGCCGCCACGAGGCCGAGTGCTCCTATGAGTCGTTGTGCAGCGGGTACGGCGCCGACTGTCCGCGTCCGCCGTCCAAACCCAACAACAAAACGGAGTGTAACGGCGGAACTCAGGTGTGTTGGAACGGCGACTGTGTCGGCTCCATATGCCAGAAGTACGACTTCGAGGAGTGCTTTCTGACGGCCAAACGCGGCGCCAAACCCGACGAGATGTGCGAAGTCGCGTGTCAGCGACCAAACAAGACGGACACTTGTCGGCGCACCTCAGAGATTAACGTGATGTCCGGCATATCGGGCCTGAAGCTGAGGCCCGGCTCGCCGTGCAATGACTTCCAGGGCTATTGTGATGTTTTCCAACGGTGTCGTGCGGTGGACGCCGAGGGACCGCTGGCCCGACTCAAGAATCTATTACTTAACCAAAAGACATTAATGAGCATTAAACAGTGGGTCACTACTTATTGGTGGGCCTGTATGTTGATGTTGGTCCTACTCATGCTGTTTATGGCCGCGTTCATCAAGTGCTGTGCCGTACATACGCCCAGCTCTAACCCCAAGAAGCGGCCGGCGCTCAGACTCAGCGACACATTGCGTAGACCGGCGGACACACTCAGGCGAAAGGTATTTGCATTGATTAGAAATATTTTTCTTGTATTTGGTATCAAAATGAGTAAATTGTGTCTTAAATCTCTACAATCCTCTGCCCCTCTGTTATATCATAAGATTATTTATAACTATTATATAGATTGTTGTGCTGTTTAGCCAATAGTTTGATGGATAGGTTTCTTATTTCCATCATATCTGGGATGGGATCCCATTCCCCGATATATACGATGATTGAATGCATTGACTCCTTATTATTATTATGATTATTACTTTTTTGATTCTTCGCTTCAAATGTCATACAATTCCTACATTTGAAACACAATTTTGTTTTCTCTTCACTTTTTTTTGTGTTGTGTTAATTCAATTTGTGGACACATTTTCTTTAATCAATACTTGTCTATAGCTATGAGTTGTGCAAAACTACACACACTATCTAATAGTATCTAATCATAGGCTTTGCATTTCGAAACCATATATTTTTGTTACGAAATAGAGACCAAATGTATTGAATGTGAGGAATCATCTCTTCCTCTCTCCCTTCCACTGTAACTATAGTTTAGTTTTACAATTGGATTGCATTTTAGCGAACAATGACTTCAAATCAAACAAAAAAAAGTTAATATAATTGCAATCAAACAATCACTAAACTATTGCCAGTTTTTTCCTGCTCTCTCTCTCTCTCTCTCTCTCTCTCT